ATGGCGCTAGACAGCATCAGAAACTTAGCCCCCATTAACTCCCCCCCAAACATGAACGGCCTGTTTTGGCTCATGGCAAAGGACTGGATAATAAAATCGGGCATGCCACGCTGGAGAAACCCTGCACAGCCTATCACAAACCCCACTCCAACAGCCAGGTCATACTGGACCCCCACCATCAAAGCCTGGAGTAGAATGATGCCAAGCAAACACGGTGCACCAAGAAACAGAGAAGAGGTCCTGAGACAACCTCTATTCTGCAATCCCTGGATCACCGACCCCAGCGGAGCGGAATGAACCCTACGCTCCAAAGACCGTAGGTGGCTATCCTGGGTTGAAAAAGGGGTGTGGCGAGTCAGACACATCTGGGAAGAAGACCAAGGACAATGGACTACTGATCAAGAACTACGCAATGTCCTCAAACGCTGTCACTCCCTCCCTGATAACCTAACGATGATCCAAAATAGCATCCCGACACACTGGCTCCCCCTCCTAAGGGAGGATTTCTCGTGGAAATCTGGGGACTGGGGTATACTAATATCCCAAACCCAGCCTACCAGAGCATACAGAGTCGTCCCTAGAATCAACCCATCTGGCTACCTATCCAAGTTCTACTCGTAACCCATAGCCAAACACACCACTAACGAGTTGGAAGTCCAGAACAGAGATCCCCAGTGCGATACACTCGATACATTCCGACTGAGGAAAGTGAGGGTCTCAAAAAACAAACCCTGGATACTCTTCGGACCGGACCTCAGCATCTCTGAGCTGGAATTTGACCCGAAGGAAAGGGTTTGGAAACAGGGTAAATCAGGGAAAACAAGAACGATAGACGAATACGACGTCAAATTCGGTTACGAGTTGGGCCTACAAACCACAAACCCGGATACCAGACTTGAAGGGAAATGGAAGGAAATTCTGAGCCTAGACCCCTCGGCCCCCATATCCATCCCGTGGTCGAAGTTCCTATCCATCAGACCAGCCAGGGTCCGAAGTATGCAATGGCTCATAGCGCACGTCTCTCTGCCAACCAATCAATGGCTCCACAAGAGGAGAAAGGACACAGACCCCAACAGCACCGACCTATGCAAACTCTGCAAGATAACATCACGGAAGACATACCCCACTGCCTCCTGTACTGTACGGAAGCAGCGTGGATCTGGAACAAAGTACGTAACCTATGGCACATCCTCTTCTCTTCACACCCCCCCGCATACGACCCCCCTCAACATCCTGCTCCTATCTAACAACACTAACAACCTCAAAGGCGGAGAGGAAGTTTGGTACCATGTTCTCAGAAAGCTGGCTTTGTGGGTGATCTGGAAGAGGAGATGCACCAAGACGATCGAAGGAACTGAGGTGCCAAGAGAAGAAATGTTGGCTCTTCTACAGAGAATGGTGGAAACAGAGATTCGAGCCAGATGGAAGGGATTGACCTTGACGACGAAAGGGAGACCAGAAAGGACAACCACAAAGAGACGGATGTTCATAAGAGACTGGCTTCTACAAGGAAAGATTGCCACAGTGGTGGACAACAGATTGGTTTGGAAGAAGTGGCACACCACAGGGACAGGCATGTAGAGGAAAACAAACTGAGATTATAATCTCAACAGCAAAGACATCTCTCCTCTTTTCTTGCTTTAAACGTAGTATCTGACAGAGACACAGTCGACTCTAAGAGGGAAAGTGGTAGGGCAAGCTGACAGTCAATCCTCCTAATAAGGAGTAATCAATGCTGGTCGGGGTTCCTTCGGCCAGACGGAAGGAAGCGTGAGGGTGCTCACCATGTATTCCAATTTTTGACTTACCGGTGGAAAGGAACCGGACTGACGCTCCCCAGAATGGATATGGAGCCAGGACCATAAGGACCTGTTTATTCAAAAAAAAAAAAAAAAAAAAAAAGTGCTGCATCAAAAAATGACAGCAAGACTCAGCAAAATGATAAACAACTTAAAATAGGGGAATAAATAAATGCCGAATCAAAGAAAGACAGCAAGACTCAGCAAAAAGATAAGGGAATAAATAAATGCTGAATCAAAAGAACAACCTGCATGGGGCAGAAAAACATCTCTGGCCTAGAAATGGCCGTGAGCATCGAGGTTGCACAGCAGCAAAAAATGGTGTGCGGCCTGGGGGCCCCTAACAGCTGCCGGGCCCTGAGAAAAAGGACCTGTGTACTGGCCTCAGCATGCTACACACACACTCTCCAAAAATAAAGAAGCGCATAGGCTCCAGGGAAGCATAGTTTTTTAAAAGAATTATTAATTTTATAACTTTTGTTTGTGCAGGGAAAATGAGCAATAGCGAGATGACAGAAATCCAGAATGCAAAATCACATCGAAAGCCAGAAAGTCCAACGCTGTCCAGAAAGCAGAAATGCGCTGATATTACACCAACGAAGAACCTAAGCACCGAATCCGAATGTCAATGAGAGCATACTCTCCTCACCACCAACATATGTATCCAGAGCCCTTACTCCTCACTTGGCGCTCAGCCCCCAGACTACAATCACACAGTTACTACCAGCCTACAAATTGACAATGAAGATGTCGACCCCGTGGACCATCACCAAGACCAGGTACGTGCCCTCACATCGTCATCCTCCTCTCTCTCTCTCTCTCTCTCTCTCTCTCTCTCTCTCTCTCTCTCTCTCTCTCTCTCTCGTCTTCTCTACCCACGTCTTCATCCCATACACGAAGACCACCACCACCTCCACTGGCTGTTCAAGCCAAGCCCTTGCTATGTAAGGCTGGCTATGGCGCTGCCCTCAGCAGCGCCCCGCCTTCTTCCAGCTCCCGCGCGCACTGCCTGGCAACTAGCGCTAGCGCACAGCGCACAGGCCGTGAGCGCACGCTCAAGCAGCGCTGCCGCATGCACTGGCTGGTGCCCGAATGAGCCCACCAGTGGCGAGCTCTTTCCTTTATGGAAAATGCTCGCCCAGTTTTCTGTCTGGCTGGGCCTAGTCTGTTTCCAGTAGCTTCCGATCGGGCCAAAGTGTTGGCGCCCAGGCCCATTCAGACAGTGGCCTGGAACCGAATTGGTTAGGCATGCCCAACCTCCCAGGCGTAAAAGTGAGGTTCTCCTTGCTTCGCCTGGGCTGCTGGAAGAGCCTAGAAGGCTCACAATTTATTTCTGATGCTCATGAATACGGAGGATGTAACCAACTGGCACATGGCAACTGTCTGGCGCCCACCAAGTTTTGCCAAAAATTGACGAGCTCGGGGCATATTGAAATTCAGGGGCCCGCCTTCACTTAGGGCGGGCTCATGCTTGCTGAAAGGGCCCTGCAGGGGCATGCCGAGGAGCTAACTCGTAACAAGGCTTCGTTGAAGATCCATCCCACATGGGGGTTCCAACGGGCTCTGCTTGGGCCCCTCGGCCTGGTCTCATAGCCCTGTAAACAGGCATTGGCACATATGTGCAGGCCCGCCTTCACTTAGGGTGGGCATGGCACTTTCAGACACTGCCTAGGGACTAAATCCGCGCACTTGCTATTTTTTTTATTTTTTTTTCCCTTCAACTTATCATAACATTTTTTTTTCGGATTTTCTTGATTTTCTTTTTCTTGCCAATTGACTGGGTCCAGGCCAGGGCGGGCACGGCTGAGCTTTCTGATTGGTTGCCGTGCCAGACCGACACCTGCCGGGCCGCCTTGCTGGAAGCCTAAGATGGCATTATAAAAGGAAGTAAAGCTGTCGCCAGATGCCAGGATTCTGATATCACCAGCCCTCCAAAGAACTCTCTCACACGATCCTGAAGGGCGATAGGACAGCACATCCCATTCTCACTTCACCTCACGGAGATGGATCAACGTGCAAAACACTAGCAACTATTCAGTTGGGAAACGCTCCCCTCTGTCATATGTCAAATTTCCTCAAGAGCTCATTCACCCATGGAAGTGGGCTGTTATGGCTGCGAGAACTGGGCATCAGGTCCAATGAGAGAGTTGCCAAGGTAGTTCCGGGGTAGGGTACATTACCCCCACCGGTGCTAGTGGTAGGGTACACTACCTGACCATGCGTTTTCGCCAATTTCTGAACCCCACCGTCTTCATTAACATTCGCAAATTGGCACAATGCCACAGAATCACAGACACAGATCGATGCGACAAATTCTCACAAACACCAGCTACTTGACTCGAAAACACTATCGACTGGACCATAGAACGAAAGGCAAGTTCATCGACTCCCCAATACCTTTCTCCAGCAGCTGCAATGTTCAATAGTCGCAGACTTAGACACATGCCTTTTCACATCTGGTCAGTGAAGGAAACCTCATGAACAAAGTTTCCTTCTGACATAATTTTACGGCATGTGTCTAACGTTTCCTTCATTGACCAGATGAGGTTTCCTTCTGACATAATTTGCTTCACCAAGAACTTGCAGTTCTCTTAGACTTTGGATAAAAAGAAGTAAAACAAACACAGAACGCCTTGGAACTCAATGTGAAGGACACATAACAGGTGTTTGCCCATCACTCCATGGGGAACCAGAAAGCAGACGGCTCCATCCAACAGAAATCGGGCCTATGAGCTAATGGTTTACATCCATTCGCTGGTATACAGAAATAGCTGGAAAACACAATGGTGAAGGAGACTTGAGTGACGGCTGAAGTGCCTACATAAGCAACTAAGAGTTCATTGTCCTGCAGAAGGCAATCCAATCATTGCAGAGCTCTCTATGTAACTCCTGATGTCCCCCACCCTAAACCAGAAATGCCTCATTCCAGATTGGTAAGTTCGATAAGGTTTTTCTGAGTTCAACCTGAGTAGAATGCGGACAGATGAAAATCATAGAGGACGGAGGGAAAGTGAACAGCCACAAAAGGTGGCCAGCATATGAAGCCCAGCAAACACCTGCGGTACTGAGGACAACAAAGAAAACATAGGTAGCCATCGCGTAATTGGGGTGATGAGTACTGACAGATGGGCATTTGGAAGCGGGAGTGAATAATGCAGCCACTTCTCATACTAGGTCAGATAACTTTGGATGATGTCATACATTGGAATGAGATGGTGAGTTGTAACCCTCCAATTGCTCCCGCTGCTGCAGTGCCAGTGCCTTCAGCTCACAAATTGTCATGTCAGGAGACGCCATCACTGTTAACAATTGATCATCCCGGATCTGCCCCCATGAGCTGAGAACATAACAGGGAGCAACCATCCAGAAGTAAACAGATAAATGTGGTGAGTCACACTACATGATTAATCATCTCCTACCTCTCTATGCACCACTTTCCCCGAGACAAAAGAAAACAAACTGCATCCAGAAAAATACTGTCTAAGTTCTAACTGATTTGCCGTAGTCCATCATACGATGCAAGATCTGCACTGAACAAAATGCTATAACATCCTCCTCATGAACTCCAACTCCAACTGTAAGAACATGGCATTCACACCATCCATTTACGGATAATAGCAAGGAAAACATATGGATGAAAGAGGGGAAAGGTGGACTGCCCCCAAAAGACACCAACAAACGTTGCTGCTTGCACAGTGCCCCCAAAAGACACCAACAAACGGTGCTGCTTGCCCAGTGCCCCCAAAAGACACCAACAAACGTTGCTGCTTGCCCAGTGCCCCCAAAAGACACCAACAAACGATACTGCTTGCCCAGTGCCCCCAAAAGACACCAACAAACGTTGCTGCCCAGTCGCATGCTTCTCATAAACTTAATATGACTAGTAGGGAGTGTCCAGGCAGAGACTACAGCAACCACACGGGATATTCGTGCCAAAAACAGGGGAGTGGAGTGCCAGGCTAACTCTACCAAGTACTCACTGTACAGCAAGAATCTACTCGTACTCTAGATGGATAAGGTCCCTGGACTCCCTACCGCTTTGGTTGCTTTCCTCATTTTTATCTTCACTTCGACAGTTCAACATGTACTGGTGGTTTAAGGAGAGGAAATGGAGTCCAGTTGATGTAGCTCAGTGGTTAGAGCACCGGTTGGAAATGCACATTGTGGTATGAGGTTGCGGGTTCAAAACTCAATTGCAACCTTGCGCATGGACACCGGTAGGGCGTTAGAATGACGCACGGCTGGACACACTATCTTCTGACCACTACATGGTTATGATTACAGACCCTGCCTGTATTGGTCAGGGGATCAAGTCCCGAGTGTTGTATGCTGGTTCTGGGTTCTGCAGGGCTTGCTTGGGGTATTGGTCTTGGCTGTTCGATTGTTCTCCCCAGTCCGATATACCACACATATGTGCCATCTCCGATTGATGTTCATACGGTTGAGTCTTGCAGTTACATCTCACAGGTCACGGGTTCGAGCTTGGTCACAGACTTTGGGTGGGTTTGTCCGGTCGGGCCCATTATACATACATACTGCCTTCCGGTATACAACTGGTGTCTGGATATACACACACATATCATACATAGCCTATGGGCTAAACATACATCCATAGCTTCCGAACACATACATCCGGCCTAAGGGCTTACATACATCTACAGTTGACTGGGGGAGAGGTTAGAAAGACTTAGTCTCTAGGGTGTAGATTACGGTAGTTACCCCAGCAGGTCTGAGTTCCACCTAGCCAAGATAGGGGCAAGCTAGGGGAAGGACGGTAGGACTGTCAGTCTGAGCTCCGCCTGACCTTGGGTAAGCTGGGGGAAGGACAGTGGACTGTCTGGCTGAAGTACTGACTGCTAGTTAGCCTGTCCCCCAAAATAAACCCAGGGGTCTAAAGTCTCTTGAATAAGGACACGAGGTTGGTAGAATATAGTGGTGTCTGGCGTCCGAAGTTCCCGTACAGCGTGGCTTGTCCGCTTCCGCTTCCACTGGGACTGAGGTAATAGCTAGCCTTGGTGCCTGTCATACTGTCTGGTCCAAGTCACCCACCTGCTGGTTGGGTGATGATCCTGAGTGGGTTACACTGAGGTAGGATAGTAGGGTAGGGGATACGCTGGGAGTATTGATGAGCAGTTGGGTTGGGAGGTGACCTCGTGATCTTAGGACGACCAAGGCTCACCGCTTCCGGTGATCCCTGTGTGTGCCTGGTAATTAGCCTCTACAACACCCTGGACTTAATGGAGGCCTAAATAGCGGATCTCGTGAGACACTGGCCGGGCAGTTTGTTCCTTCACATGGCCAGGCAGCACCAAGCAGGCAGCAGGGTTTAGTCTACCTTCCGAGTATTTTTCACCATGGCCACAGTGTGGCTGTGAGATGTTCACATGAGATGGCAAGAACGGGCAAGCCAAAACCCCTCTTTCCTACATCTATCCCACTACCCAGACAAATCTAGTTGTACTTATTCCTCCTATCTAGTAGCACAGTGCAGAGGGACTTTGGGGAACAGCCTATGCCTTTCCTCCATTCGGGCCATACTCACACCACCACTTTCCTGAATCTACATGACTGTGCGTGACAACAAATACAGCCCAACCTAGATCAATCTAACAGCAATCACATCCAGCGCCTTGTAGCCAAAAAGGAGTGCTATTACGGATGAATCTGACCACAATCACTACCCAAGGTTGGTAGGAAAGAAAGGAAAAAGAAAAAGAAAAATCCCTCGTCCTATTGCGAGGAAAACCTACATATATCTAAAAGCAATCACGTCCAGAGCTTAGGTCCTTGCTCCGCTACTCACCAAATATGCAAAGTGTGATCGAATCTCTTCTGGAACATGGGAAGATACACCACCCTATTTTTTGTCTTTTGTGCATGTGGTGAATGGTGAAGCGAAGACCCCAGTTGCCAAAAACATTTTCCTTACAGGGACGCGATATGGGCCCAATGAAGCCAACACAAACAAAAGAGATTTGCAGGCAAGAAATGGACCAAATACCCCTGAAATACAAAGAAGCCACACGCCGCGCCGCAGCTTTGCAACCAAGAAGAGAAAGGAACCAACATGACTGAAACACC